GCTTGAGCTGGCCTGGTTTCCCCACTGGCCCCAGGTGGTGGGCCTGTCTTATAGACAAGGAATTCATCCATCCAGGGTGGCAGGGCTGAGACTCTGGGTGTACCCAGGCAGGCAGAGAAAAAGTGAGGGCACAGCAAGAGGCCTCCTGGAGTTTACCAACTGAGCTGACCATGTTTCTGCTCTTGTCTGGCTGTGATAACTTTTCACCAGAGCAACTCGTGTCTCAGGCATTAATGGTCCCGTGAGGAGCAAGACCCTCCCTCCTTACCTCCCTCCTAGGTGCTGGCATCCCCTTAATGCCTGGATCAGGCTGAGCTCAAGAACTTGTTGGCTGTCCTTGCAGGTGTGCTCAGAGGTCAGAGCACTGGTCCATGCACTGAAAGGTTGTGGGTTCAGTTCCCAGTCAAGGGCATGTACCTGGGTTGTAGGTTTGAATCCAGGCCCCAGTTGGGGAGCATGCTGGAGGCAACCAATCGGTGTGTCTCTCATATCCACGTTTCTCTCTTTTCTCCTGTCCTCCCATCTACTCTCTAAAAATCAATGGAAGCATGTCCTTGGGTGAAAATTAACAAAAAAACAAAAAGAACTTGTTGGCTAATGGTCAGGGATGGCCTGACCGCTGTGCGCTGCTGCAGGTGGAGGGTCTTGAGATTTAGGGGTACAGGGGCGGGGGCATGGTATAAGGGGAATGGGACCCTTGTCAGCCGCAGGAGTAACACACGGGAATGGCAGGAGACAGTGGGCTGGCCAAGCCCTGGAGTAGGTTGGCATTTCTCTTTTCTAATTTGTTGATTTGAAAGAAACACATCAATTTGTTGTTCCACTTAGTTATACATTCATTAATTGATTCTTGTATGTGCCCTGAGTGGGGATCAAACCTGCAACCTTGGTGTATCGGGACGATGTTCTAACCAACTGAGCTACCCAGCCAGGGCCAGTTGGCATCTTTCTAACCAAGCCAGGCAGCAAGTGTCTCAGGATCAGTAATGGTGGATTAGCAAAACACCCCCAACATCCCTGAAGTCTCTGAGAGGATGGTGTCGTGAGCTTGTCTGGAATGCTGGGACAGTGACAGAGTAAAGATATATGGCAGCTGTCTGGTCTACAAGGACCACATTTACCATTCAGACAGCAGGTCTGGAGCAGTAAGGAAGGCCCCGCAGCCCTAGCCGGCTTGGCTCAGTGGTTAGAGCGTCGGCCTGCGGACTGAAGGGTCCCAGGTTCGATTCCGGCCAAGGGCACATGCCTGGGTTGCAGGCTCAATCCCCAGTGGGGGTGTGCAGGAGGCAGCTGATCAAGGATTCTCTCTCATCATTGATGTTTCTATCTCTCTCTCCTTCTCCCTTCCTCTCTGAAACCAATAAAGAAAAAAAAAAAAAGGAAGTCCCCGCAAGTCCTGGAGGCCTCCAAGTCCTGCTGGCTGCACTCACCTCTCATGTATTCGATGGTGCCATCAAGCACAAGGTTGAGGAGTGGGTCAAACCCTTTCAGGATTCCACTGGCTTGTAGGAATCACCGAGAAGAGAAGAGAAATGGGAAGGTTGTAAGATCAACAGTGGTTCAGGAGGCAGGTACCAAATGTCACTAAATTGCATACCTTAAAATGGTTAATTTTGTGATGTGAATTTTACCTCTCAGTGGTTAGAGTTTCGGCCTGTGGACCAAGAGTTTTGAACTTGATTCCTGGTCAAGGGCACCTGCCTAGATTGCAGGTTCAAACTCTGGCCTTGGATGGGGCTCAAGTGGGAGGCAACCAATCGATGTGTCTCTAACACATTGATATTTCTCTCTCTCCCTTACCCCCTCCCCCTTGGTCTCTTTTCTCCTGTCCTCCCATCTACTCTCTAAAAATCAATGGAAGCATGTCCTTGGGTGAAAATTAACAAAAAAACAAAAAGAACTCGTTGGCTAATGGTCAGGGATGGCCTGACCGCTGTGCACTGCTGCAGGTGGAGGGTCTTGAGATTTAGGGGTACAGGGGTGGGGGGCATGGTATTTATATTCTCTCTAAAAATCAATGGAAAAAATATCCTCACTCCTCAGGAGAGGATTAAAAAAAAACTGAACAACAACAAAAAAACCCAAGCATCATAGGTTATGGTTCCTTGGCCAAGTGACGTATCTTTGCACCTGAGAGGGGGGTGGCCCCCAGTGCCCCGACAGGCCATCCACGCTCCCTGCCCATTGCTGCCTCTCCCAACTGTTCTCTCTGGCCTGCAGACCTTCACACTCATTTATGCTTCTGCCTGTGATGCTCCAACTCCCACCCCTCTTTTCCAACTCCTTTCTTCGCCCGGTGCAGGAAGATACCCAACTATGCCAGCACTCTGTGTGCCCATTTCCCATGAAAGGCAGGGACTAGGCACTGTACTGCCTCCTCCTCACTAGACTCCAGTGGCAGATGCAAAGTTAAAAAACATGATTACACATAAAGCTGCAAACTGTGACAGGTACTGCTAGGAAATTTTAACAAAGAGGCCTCAGGAAAGGTGGAGGGTCAGGGAAGGTTTCCCAGAGCCAAAACCTTGAGTTGAGAGCAGGAAAATGACTCTGGCAGTTAACCTGGTAACAGCACTCCAGGCAGAGAAAACACGTACCTTTATAGCCCAGTGGCAGATGAGAACCCCATTAGTCAGAGGTACCAAAGGTTTGTATTTACCTTGGACAAGGGGGAGCCCCCAGAGGGCTGAATAGCAAACAAGAATTGATGTTTTTAACAGGTCCCTCCGGCCCATATGTGGAGACTGACTGTTGGACAATTCTGTCCCCCAGGAGACACTGGGCGATGTCTGAGACATTTTGGTTGTCAAAACTAAGGGATGCTGCCAACATGCCCGCCCGCATGGCTCAGTGGTCGAGTGTCGACTTATGAACCAGTAGGTAAAGGCGCAATTCCCTGATGGGGCACATACCCGGGTTGCAGGCTTGATCCCCAGTGGGGGGTGTGCGGGAGGCAGCCAATCAATGATTCTCTCTAATCACTGATGTTTCTCTCTCTCTCTCCCTCTCCCTCTCCCTCTGAAATCATTAAAAATACTAGAGGCCCACAGGTCAAGTTGAGGGACCCCACCGGGGCACGAATTTGTGCACCAGGCCTCTAGTATGCATATAAGATCTTGGTTAATCTCTTCTTGTCCTCTTCCCCTCCCCCTCCCCGCTGAGATTCATCAGTCTGTTCCATGTTTCCATGCCTGTGCATTGAGCATCTGCCCCCTGGTGGTCAGTGCACGTCATAGCTACAGGGTCAACCGGTTGCTTAGGCTGTTATATGTACCAGGTATAGACTAGAGGCCCAGTGCATGGATTCGTGCACTGGTGGGGTCCCTCGGCCTGGCCTGTGCTCTCTTGCAATTGGGGACCCCTATGGGGATGTTGAACTGCAGGTTCCAGCCCAATCCTGGCAGGGGCTGAAATCGGCAGTCCAACATCCCCGAGGGATGTAGTAGTATGCGAAGCAGGTGGCCGGGGAGGAGCCCAAGCTGGGGCCGGGCACTGCGCTGCTCCGGCTCATCCAGGCCTTGCTACGCTGCCGCTGCTGAAGCTGTGCTCACCAGCCCAGCTATGAGCCAGGCTTCTGGCTGAGCAGCACTCCTGCTGTGGGAGTGCACTGACCACCAGGGGTCAGCTCCTGCACTGAGCGTCTGCCCCCTGGTGGTCAGTGTGCATCATAGCTACCAGTAAGCTGGTTCAAGTCGGTGGAATGGTTGACTGGTAGTATAGGCCTTTTGCCACTGGGCTCACCAGCAGTGAGCCTGGCTTCTGGAGCGCACTGACCACCAGGGGGCAGCGTCTGCATTGAGTGTCTGCCCCCTGGTGGTCAGTGCACATCATGGCAACAGGTCATTCCACTGTTCAGTCAATTTGCATATTGGCCTTTTATTATATAGGACTAGTAGCTCTCCTCCTGCACCGCCCTCCTGTAGATCCCCCATCCCCCATAGTTTGCTGCCCTGCCCCCTCCTGTAGCTCTCCACCCGCTGCTTGTAGCTCCCCCACCCCCCATAGCTTGCTGCCCTACTCCCTCCTGTAGCTCTCTACCCCCAGCTTGTAGCTCGCTGTCCCACCCTCCTGCTAATCCATGATCGGTCCTAACCCAGTTAGTCATTATGCTTCACAGCTTAATGACCATTCGCATATTACATCTTTATTATATAGAATTATATAGGATATAGATAGATAGATATTTAAAGCAAAAAAAAAAGCCTAAGGGATGCTCCTAGCATCCAGTGGGTGGAGGCCAGGAATGGCGCTCAACAACCCACGTGTCCAGGACGGCCTCCACAACCGAGAACATTTGGGCCCAAAGTTAAAAGTGCGGCTCTTTAGGAACTCGGTGAAGGAGCACCAGTGAGGAGCGGCGGCGGCAGAACCGCACAGGAGGCCAGACTGGCATCCCAGCCCCAGGTGGACCACTGGGGTCCCCTTTCCCAGCCTCAGCCTCCCCGCTGCAAAGGGGAGCGGCAGCACTGGCCCCGGCGCCTCTAGGAAGCTTGCACGAGTTATCCCGGCAAAGCGCCTCAGCGGTGCCGGGTATCAGCTGTCACTCTTGCCCCCCATTACTTCTCGTAAATCATTAGGGGGTGCAGAGCGGGTGCCTCACCTTCGCGGCCTCCCTGAAACTTCACCCGGATCGTCTTGTCGATGTACTTGGACAGGTCCAAGATGCTCTCCTTCTTCTTCTTCTCTTTGTCCTGCGGGGGAAGCAGAGCGCGTGAGGCGGGCAGCGCGGCCAGCCCCTG